GTCCCTGTGCTTTGCTTGGCTTAGCTTGTTCTAAGTAGGCGCTTTAGACTACTGAGCCATCTCACCAGCCCTGTCTTAGCTCTTGAGGGCAGCTGAAGGACCAAAGCACTGAAAACTCCTTGGGCAATGGCAGGGTAAGTAGATAGGACATGTCCCCATGTCCTTTGACACTTCAGGATCCAGCACACTTTACCATACACAGTATGTTAGGATTTGGATGTGAGCAAGGGTCCCTCTGGCTTTGGGGCTATGTGCCCATGTTCCACCCCTGAGCGGTGGTGCTAGTTGCATGTGGGTGGCATCAGGGCCTACACAGTAAGGTCATATACTGGCTTCTTGACAAAGTAGCGAATATGGGTTTCAATTCATTTTTCTGTCCTGCTAAAAAGATGTGATATCATCATGGACCTGTGGTTTAGGCTTATTTGCTCAGCTAATTTCATGAGCTATTACATTTTGGACAGTCACATGTTTGCTTCTGTGGAGTGAGACAACAGGCTGTGACATGAGTGGGAGAAGGTTTCACAGAAGAGAGGGTATTGCAGCATGTCCTTTGCTGTCCCTCTGACCGCTCACATTCCCCTCCCAGAAAATGCTGATCTAGATACAGAAAGGAAAGACTGAGTGATCAGGGCCCAGTGTCTTAGGGGAAAGCACCCACCCCGACAGCTGCACCGCCTGAAGACTCACCCCAGTCCCCCAGCCAGTGGAGGATTTCATACAGGTGCTTTTCTTTAGTCTTAGCATCTTTGGAGAAGGAAGCAATTTTCTCTAACAAGATGAATCTCTTCTTGCCCTTTTGCTCCGTATGGTAAGATTTTGTCTTTTCTTTTAAATCATATCCCAAGTCTTCCTGAAAGCGGTTGATGACACCATTGACATTGTCCAAGATGCCTGAGAGCTGGGTAGAAATATCCTATATAGGAGGCAGCAGATTGTAGTGCTTAGCAGTGTAGACTTGGGAGTTGGGTGCTTGGACAAATCATTGAACTTCTGGGTTGAGTATTTTGGGTATTTTTCAAAGTAGAGATTATTATAGGACTTACATCACAGGGTATTTGTGGATTTTTTTTTTTTTTTTGAGCAGTGTCTCATTATGTACTTCAAACTGTCCTTGAGCCCACTGTACAGTTGAATTCCCAGGATTCCTGCCTCAACCCCACCTCCACCCCCACCCAGTGCTGGGATTATAGATGTGTGCCATTATGCCCAGCTCTCAAGGTATTTATATTAATTAAATGAAGTAATCATTTATTTATTTGGTAGTGGGGATTGAACTCAGGACCTTGTGCTTGCCAGGCTGGCACTTAAGCCTGCTGAATTATCTCCCCACCCTGAAGTAATTATTTAAAGTGCATAGAGCAGTGCCTGGCACATAGCAAAAGCATTCAGTCTTATTATCATTTTGATTATTACATTCAGTGACACTAAACTTGGAATAGTGTAACACGCCGGTAATCCCAGCACTTTGGAGGCTGAAGCAGGAGGATCTATGTAGAAGGCAGAGTATAACAGAACTGCCTGCGGAAATGAGCAGGACCTGCCGGCTACAACATCCTGGGGAGGGGGGCAGATAACACTCAGGACCACCTACCTAGGGCTTCTAGACAGTCCCTACTATTATGACTTCACAGAAACTCGACATGAGTCCCAGACCCAGGATGTACTTTTTTCTTTTTTGTAACGAGGATTAAACTCAGGACCTTGTGCTTACCAGGCTGGCGCTTATGCTGCTGAGCCATCTCCCCAGCCCCTCATGATGTAGTTACTTTTACCCTTTTCCTTTTTCTCTCTTTGACACCAGCGTGCTCTGCAGAGCTTACCCCTTCACTCCTCATTTTTTTTTTATTTTTTTTTAAAGATTTTTTTTTTTAATTTGTGTGTGTGTGTGTGTGTGTGTGTGTGGCCAGCTCAGCCCACCAGGGGGCGGGGCTGGCTGGCATGTGGTGCTGGGGGATTGAACCACAGTCCCTGTGCTTTGCTAAGCTTGTTCTAAGTAGGTGCTTTAGACCACTGAGCCATCTCACCAGCCCTTCACTCCTCATTTTTATAGAAATTTTTGGCACTGGTTTTGGCTTGTCTTGTCCAATTGTATGAGACAAGAACACCCTGGAATATTTTTGTTTGGCAAGCTATTTCTGAAGGAACTACCTAATGATAGAATTACAATAAGTTCAAGGCCAGACTGGGCTACATACTGAATTCAAGGCTAGTCTGAACTATGTGGTGGGACCCCCAAAACAAACAAACAGATAAAAAGTTCAGTGACACTAAATATCTACAGCAAGCATTTCAGAATTCAGAACAAGAAACTATCAGGATCAGAGATACAAGTTAAAAATGCACTAGAGGCTCATTATATACAGAGTGATTCAAACCTTTCCTCATTATTTCTAAGTACTCCCAAGACTAAGCTTAGGAGATTCTGGCAGTTGGCCAAAAGTAGACCCTGAATCAAGAAATCTGGGCACCTTCCTGCCCCTTCAGACCTAGCACTATGGACCATCCTGGCATTCCTTCCACTTACCTGTAGGGCTATTCCCTTCCTGGTGGTAGGACCCAGCCCACCCTGTAGAGGCCAAGTATAAGACGAGGTTATTTCAAATTCATCTGTATGAAAAACCAGTTTGCTGAGTACCCCAGGACACCCCTACTCAAGGACCTGGAAATGAAATCTTGCTTAATCGTAGGGTCAGTCCCCAGCCCTGTGTTGGACCCCAGTACAGGGTGCTTATTTCTCACTCAGCTTACCTCCTGAGCCCGAGCAAGCTGGGCAGTCTCAACTCTTGAGATGATGGTTTTTACTGAGGCAGGAGTTAGCAGCTGTGGGGCCTTGTCCCTCTCCATTCTGGATGACTGTCTGTCCCAAGAGGTCCTTATTTCTGATACATAGGCCTAGACACACATTGTTGGCTGCTTCAGAGGTTAAGGGTCCCAGGGTGGCTCTTGGGTACCTTCTGCCCAGTCACAGCTCCTCTAGTAACTGCCAGGTACCAGGTTCTAACTGACCCTGTTTTACTAGTGACATCATCAGTTTGATTTGAAGGTTAGACTTTTTGCCATCAATCTGACCAGTTATCTAGCTTTTTATCCCTTACCTAGTATACATTTACTTGTACAGTTGCTTTTCAAGAATCATTAAATTTTAAGCTCCCACACTAAACATTAATGGCTAAAAACAGGAGAAGACAATTAGAAAAAAGTTACTTTCTGCTATAGTTTCCTGTGTGTCTCCCAAAAGTTCATATGTCAAAGATATGCCCCCCAAAGTGGAGCCACTGGGAAGGCATAGAACTTTGTGACACAGGCCACTTGTGCGAGGTCCCAATGTCACTGTGGATAAGTGTTTCCCCCCTCCTAAGCAACAGAGCTATTCATCCATGGACTGAATTCTTCAAACTATGAGCTAGCCTCAACTTTTTCTAAGTTAACTACCTCAGGTATTTTGTTTTTATGAGGAAAACCTGACTTACAAACTTTCCCAAACAGAACATTTAATTAAAAAAAAAAATAGAGCCAATCAATAACTATGTAGGAATATGTCTGCATTTGCCCTAAGGATCAAGACTCAGTTGATACTTCTACTTACTGAAGGCTATAGTCATGGCAAGAGATCTGTATGCCCAGAACCTAGAACCATACTTGGCATATAGAGGAATTTACTAAATACTTGAGTGAATAAATAAGCTAATATATAAATGTAAATGCATGTTATGTTTTGTGTCTAGTTGTCCACCCAAGCTTCATGTAAGTTATGGGACAGACACAGCTGGAAGAGCAACAAGTGGCTTGAGGGTTGGGACTAGAGGACCAGGGCAGGGCCTGAGAGGTGCAAACCATTAAACTGACTAGCCTGTGCTTTCTCAGAGATGTGAAGAGGGTCATCCTGGACATGGCAGCACCCCAGCCTCTCCTCCAGTGTCTTTTTTTTTTTTTTTCCAGAACTGGGGATTGAACTCAGGGAAGCGCTTATTCCACTAAGCCATCTCCCCAGCCCCATCCTCCAGTGTCTTGAAACCTCCAGTAACTGGGAGCTAAATAAACCTTTCCTTCCCTCATTTGAGTGTTGGGTATTTGTCCCAGCAAAGAGAGAAGAGTAAATAATACAATGCATATACATAAAATTATTGTTTCTTGGTACCAAAACTTATGATTTAATAAATAAGGAATTAAATAGTGTTGACTCATTCCTCAGCAGTGTTATGGCCACTTAGTAACTTGTCACATTCACCTGTCTTTGACACAGTATCATTAATTCATTTATTCAAGGTTAATTGTCTTTTGGGCTTATTCACTCAACACTCTTGGAAATATTTCATGCGCCATGCATGGGACTAAGCACTATAGATGCAGAAGTGAATGAGACCTAGTTCTTTCTTTGAAGTGCTCAAATCTTTTTATTATTATTATTTTTTTTTAATGTATGTGTGTGTGTGTGTGTGTGTGTGGCCAGCCCAGCCCACCAGGGGGCGGGGCTGGCTGGCATGTGGTGCTGGGGGATTGAACCGTGGTCCCTGGGCTTTGCTAAGCTTGTTCCAAGTAGGTGCTTCAGACCACTGAGCCATCTCACCAGCCCCTGAAGTGCTCAAATCTTGCTGTATGGATGCTTATGTAACTCATCCAGTCCCGGATGGTCCTTTCATCCTTTATGATTTTAGAACATGTAGTTTACAAGTCTCTCTTTCTCTTTTACCCTGTCCCTCTTCTTCTCTTTCTCTTTCAGATTGAACCCAGGGATTTGCAGCATGCTAGCAGATAAATTCCTTGAATACCATCTATTCAAGCTCACTACAGAAGAAAGAAAAAAAAGACATGAATAGCCTATCTTTACTAAAGAAATTGGATTTGAAATGAAAAATCATTCAAAGAAAACCATCTGGGTGTGGTGATACACACCTGTGATATCAGCACTTGGGTGGAAGAATCACCTCAGGTTTGAGGCCAGCCTAGTGTACATAGTGACTTTAAGGCTGGCCTGAACTACATAGTGAATTCTGGGAAACATTTATGAATAAAATAATAACACAATTCTGTTTTAGTCACTGTTCCATCACTGACACTCATAGTTTAAAGGAGGTGTTTATCTTGGTCATGGTTGGCAGCTCCAAGGTAGAATCAATGTGATAAAAGGGCAAGGCAGAGGAAAACTGGGTGGCTGGGAAACACAGAGAGAGAAGGGGCGAGGGACAAGTACAGACCCTTCCAGAACCACCCCCAGTGACCCAACTCCACGTTGGCCCCACCTCCTAACAACCTCCATGATCCAGTCACCTCCCAAACTCATGAGACCTGCAGGGGGCCGGGGGGGGGGGACATTTTAGATTTAAACAATAATCAGTTCTATACAAACTCCTCCAGAAAATTAAATAATAGAGAACACTTGTCAAGATATTTAATGATGTTAGCATTACTTTTATACTAAAACCAGACAAAAACATTTGAGAAGGAAGTGCTGTAGACCAATATCATACACAGAGACATAAAGGAAAAGTAATTGAAATCCACTAGCTGGAATATATTTATTTGTCAAATATATATTTGATAAAGCACTTATATTCAAAATATAAGGGCTGGGGGGATGGCTCAGTAGCATACACACTTGCCTGGCAAATGCAATGTCGTGAGCTTGATCCCCAGTACCAAAAAAAAGAATCAAAATATATATTTAAAAAAAAAAATTACAGGGCTGGTGAGATGGCTCAGTGATCTAAAGCACCTACTTAGAACAAGCTTAGCAAAAAGCACGGGGACCACGGTTCAATCCCACAGCACCACATGCCAGCCAGCCCCGCCCCCTGGTGGGCTGAGCTGGCCACACACACACACACACACACACACACAAATAAATAAATAAATAAATTTTAAAAAAAAATTACAGCTCAGTAAAGGAAGACTACAAAGGTTTTTTTTATTTGTTTGTTTGTTTGGTTGGGGTGTTTTTTTAGAGTTTTGGTTTTTTGAAACAAGTTCTTCTATGTAGTCCAGGCTGGCCTGGAACTTGCTAGGTGGCCCAGGCTGGTCTCAGACTCATTGATCCTCCTGCCCCTTTTCTCAAGTGCTGGGATTAGAAGTATGTGTCAGCTTGCCCAACTACAATCCAGTTTTTAAAGTGGTAAAGATTTAAACAGACAGGTACCATGTCACTAAAGAAAATATGCAAAATGCTAAATGCATACAAGAAAAATTTCTTGATATCATTAGACAGTGCATTAGGAAAATGCAAGGTAAAATTCCAGTAAGATACCAACTCTAATAAGAATGAGTTCAGTGAATAAAAATAATGTGATAACACTAAGTGTTGAGGATGTTGGAAAAGTGAAACACTCAGTGATGGTGGGAATATAAGGGAGTAGTACCACTTTGGAAAATAACTTGGCAAGTTTGAAAAAATTAAATATGTATTTACTTCTTAAGCAATCCATTCCTAAGTATTTACTTAAGAAAACTAAAAACAGAAAGACCTACACACAAATATTCATAAGTAGCTCTACTTTCAATAGCCTCAGCTGCAATCCAAACCCAAAAAGCACAGGGACCGCGGTTCAATCCCCCAGCACATGCCAGCCAGCCCTGCCCCCTGGTGGGCTGAGCTGGCCACACACACACACACACACACACACACACATAAATAAATAAATAATTTTAAAAAAAGGCTAGGTTGGAGGCTTGGTCCATGAAGCAATGATAGAGGTGGGCTCTATCATTAGAAGATGATAAGGTCTGAACCTTCCTCAGTGAGTTAATCTTTTTTTTTTCAGAACCGGGGATCAAACTCAGGCCCTTGTGCTTGCCAGGGAAGCGCTTATTCCACTGAGCCATCTCCCCGGCCCTGGATTAATCTATTGATGGGTTCATAATTTGATGGCATTACAGGGAGGTGACAGGAATTTAGGAAGTGGGGCCAAGTTGGAAGGAGTGGAAATGTGTCTTTGGAGATTATGCCTTATCCCTGGCCCCTTCTGCTCTGGGGCTGTCTCATCTCCACTTCTGGCTGCCATGAGAAGAGAAGCTTTGCCAGAAGCTTTTGCCCTTCCCCCACAACATGGCCTCACCACAGGCCTACAAGCAGTGGAGCCCGCTAGCCATGGACTGAACCTCTGTTATCATGACTTTCCTCCTCTAAGTTGATTTTGTTGGATATTTTGTCACAGCAATGGAAAGCTACACATTAAAAAGCAATGACGTGGGGCCAGGGAGATGGCTCAGTGGAATAAGCGCTTCGCTGGCAAGTGCAAGGGCCTGAGTTCAATCCCCAGTTCCACCAAAAAAAAAAAAAAAGAGGAAAAAGCAATGATGTTACTGATACACATGACATCATGGATAATTTCAAAGACATGTCAGTAAATGTAAGAAGTCAGACAAAAACTCCTACAAACTGTGATTCTACTTATATGAAGTTCTAGGAAGGCAAAAGGATAGTGACAGAAAACAGATTAGTAGATGTTAGGTGCCAGATGAGACAGGAGACTAACTACAAAGAATACAAAGAAAATTTTTAAGGGAAGGAAATGTTTTATGTCATGATTATATACATTTGTAAAAATTCTTTGTATCATACTCAAAATCGGTGAGTCTTATTATATGTCAATTATACCTCAATAAAGCTGATTTTCTAAAAAAATATGATGCCCAAAACTGTATAAGGGACTGGACGTGGTGGCGTGCCTGTAATCCCAGCGTTTGGGAGGCTGAAAATAGGAGGATCTCTATGAGTCCGATCTGTGTAATGAGACCCTGTAGATCCTGTACTAAATATTTTTTTAAAAAAATAGAAAACTGCAGGAACTCTGGGAAGACAGTACAAGGGGCATTGGAGTCAAGGCATTGGAGTCATTGGGTATGGGAAGGTATAATTCCTCTTCCTCTCTCAGGTGATGCATCTTTTTCATGTCCTTGTCCCTTGGCTGGTTTCTTTCAGTCATTAGTCCTTCAGAGCTCTTCTCCCATGGGCAGCTTAGTG